AATAATTACAGAAAAATTCTTTTACTCTTTCAAACTTATGCAAAACAATATATAATATGGAATATATTTTTATGTTTTTAGATTTCCTTGGAGGCGATATGCTTTAGACAACAAGGAAAAAGATGAATCAGGAAGCGAAGAAGAAATTATGGGTAGCTCATCACCGCCAAGAGTATCCAATATGTATGAAGAAGAAACTGACTCTGATTCTAATCACTGAATTCAGAATCTTGTATAAATGTCCCTGCAAATGGATATTGACTGCTGGCAGAATATTCGAATTAACGTGTATATAAATATATACTGCATACACATATTTTGTATCCACGTCGCGTAGTTTGGTACGAGTATATAATAAATTCCTATTTCCTTAAATCCTTAATTATTTAATTATTTGAATACTTTATCTGTTAAACGCGCGAACGATCTATCTGAAACAACATAATCTGATAATATCTTTCAGGATTGTTATTTAAGAGGACACTGTCTAGCTTACTGTAAACAGCACATTTGGATATTACTAAGCATTCATTTGTTTTCCGATTTCACTTTCAAATTGGGATACAATATTGCTAAATTAAAATCAATCATAGCACGAAAACAAATGTTCCAAAAATTCCCTGCAAATTTAACAAGATGTATTGCAAAATTAAACTGTGACATTTTTTAAATATCTTACGTTACTACCAAATCATTGAATCCGGTTCCGGAAACTGAATCACCATTCAGATGTCGGTCCGTCGGTGGCATGAATTGTAAACTTTGAAACACGCCTGTCATTCACGGAGAAAATGGTTGATGTCAACTCTACGTTCGGCTTTGAAGTTTTTCAGTCGTTATACGACAGCCAAATATCGAAAAAAGAGGATGTCCTAATTTTATTCGTTCATTGGTATTTTATAAAAAATTCGTTCAGGTGTATCGGCTTAGGCGATTCAGTAAGTAAATATAAAGTGTTAGTATGGTACATCACGCAATACCGGCATCAATTAGTACGCAATCAACACATTCGATTGACAAATAATGTGATAATAATCCACTGATCGAATATTGCATTACCTAACCTATAAAGAATTTGTATTTATTTTCGTATGACAAATCCCGTAAACTGTACAAAAAAATAGTAATTTTTTACAACACAGTAACGATCTCATATTAATTAAATGAATTTATAATAAATTAATTATATATAGTGTTTTGTTATTCTAAAATACTTGTTTTTTTTTTAGAAAGCATATAATGAAACTGAAAAAGGATCAGAATTACTTCCAGCAGAATGGAGCAAAGAATCTTATTATGCTTTACGTTACGTAAAGGATAAAAAGTTATATATACTGCATGGCATAAAGTCTGATGAAGATTTACTTCTAAATCTATTGGTAATGTAAAAGAATGCTGTGCAAAAGCTATTCTGTTATGTAACAGACTCTATACAACAAGATCATAATTCTTTTTATTTTACAGAGAACCGGAGACCAAAGAGTATCCAATATTCAATTTGAAATTAATCAAACTGTAACAGATCTTCGTGGACCATTGGAATCTCTAATACCTTCATACCAAACTGTTATACAAGTTATTCAAACCGATCTGCTGAATCCAATAATGTCTGATAATGCTGCAAATACAACAGCTAATACTTCTACTCAAACATCAACAGAGAGCAGAGATAGTAATATAGGGATTCCATTAAGGCAAGGACTGCCAATACGAGCACGACCAGGGTAATATTGAGTTGTATCGAATGGATAAATAATAGTACATCTTTGCAGAATTTGAATAACAATGATTGAATTTTGGCCGACATAATTGGACATTTTGAAATCTTGAACAGCTATTTCCAAATGCAGAAACCAATTCTTCATAGAATTCAAAGAATTAAAGTTAGTCTTCGCGTCTAGCAAGTATAATCGATCCTGTGAATACGCTTGGTATAATTGCTATCATTCTCCCCTTTTCACTTTCTGTGATTCATTATTTTTGCATAATATGTCTCAACATTTTTTGTTTATCTATTTCAATTAATATTAGTAGTTATTTAAATTCTTATAGCGCTCCGCATGCAGGAAATATAGGTGAAAGAGACCTAAATCCTCTAGCTCGTGAAGGCGGTGGTATGATCTTCGATCCATTTCCTTTACGCGACGGTTTAGCGGGCAGACCAGGCTTAGGAGTTCCAGGAAGGCTACCACCGTAAGTTATATATATAACGTATACTAATTTTTCTGAATTATATATTTTCTAATTATTACATATTACCCCACACTGTAGGGGCGCGGTTCCACCTTACGCTAGATTTGATCCCTTTGGACCTCCGGACGTGAACCTACCAAGACCACGTCCACGCGATCCAGATGCCGATCATTTACCGCCTCCAGGATATGATGACATGTTTATGTAAAAAAAAAAACAATGAAATGTACGCGAAAGGAAGGAGACAGATATTACTTGTAAGAAGTTAAACAAAAAATGGATTAGTTATGTAGAAATCTTTTTTTATTCCGGCAACACATCAGATATATAAGTGGACGTTGCTTCTTCACAAAACGACTTCCATTCTTTTTTATTTCATTACTGACGTTTTACAATATAACAAAATTCATTCAATTTAATCAATATGCCATTAATACAGCGATAGGTAGGAAATTAGATTAACAAATTAAATATATAATAATAGTAATTTGTGTTTAAATTGCTCTAACTCGTTAAATTTCTTTCTTTTCTTTCTTTTTTCTTAATCAATTTGATAGGAGACTGTGTTTCCCTTTTATCATTTTTTCGTTTTATTTTATTTTTTTTTATTACGTCGGCTCAAAATAGAGGATTTTTTGCTACCTAAATCGTTCTTGCTCGCAGTATTCATATGAGTTAATAGCTTGTTTTCCTTTAAACGTAAAGTACAAAACATCGTACGAAAACGATCACCGCAATTGCCATTATAAAATAATGGCAATTAAACCTATAATATTTCATACATTGTGTTTGTAATAGATCTTATATTTTTTTCTGTTAAAAATCAAATAAAATTCGACGGTATTTCGATTCAATTCTTCGAGTGGACAAATTTTTACTTCCCTTTCCCCGATACAACATGTAAACATGTTCAGATTAGAACGCATTTTTACATACAATTTTAAACGAGATCTACGAATGCTCATTGACTAAAATTCAAAGATGCAGGGTCCAGATGAAAAGCAATTGTTTCCAATTTCCTTTAAGTTCGTTTTTGTTTCGCAAAAAATGTATCACAGATGAAAAATGTTCACTCGGAACACATAGTTACACCGGGTGTAGTAGCAATGTACACGTTCCTTGAAGAAGTGAATCGACGCGTGCGAAAGAAAAAGAAATAAGTTCCGAATTGAACGATAATGAAAAGAAAAACAAAGATTCGTTGATAACATTTTTTCCCCCCTCCATGAATGCTACAAGTGTAAAGTAAATATATCGATGATATCTAACTTTTTTTTTTTAAGTGGGCTAAGAAAATAGAAGGGAAAACACATTACTGATCAATGACAACCGTAATAGTTAACAGTATTTGAATTGAACTAAGGAAAAACNTATCGATGATATCTAACTTTTTTTTTTTAAGTGGGCTAAGAAAATAGAAGGGAAAACACATTACTGATCAATGACAACCGTAATAGTTAACAGTATTTGAATTGAACTAAGGAAAAACAAAAGAAAGAATCGAACGGTAAAAAGTTATTCGATTTCGGATCTAAGGCTCGATAATTTTACTTTTTTTACGAATGTCCCTCGTCCCATCCTCTGGTAAAAAATATTGCAGTTTTTGTTTTGTTTAAATATTACAAAAAAGGAGCTGTACCAGGTTTCGAATTTCATTTCGAGTCTGCGATCACGGTGAATGTACTCTTGGTTTACTGTGAAAAATTATGCATGAATAATACGTTGACTAATTTAAGTTCGTTCGCAGAGTTTCGTAGAAAAAGTGTCATTTGGAATATCCTTACATACTAATCATCCATGGAAAACGAAAGAAAACAACACTCTTGTACACAGTATCGGCTAAACACGAGAAACGGAAAAACACAATTCACGTATTCACGGTAATATACATGCGGAAAAAGTACATTCACGTCAAATCGGCAGACACATGAAATGATCCAAGTATTACAATTCATTATTTTAGGAGCGAATTTTCTTTTCTTTTTCTCTCTCTCTCTCATTCTTCGTCTATCTTTTGAACACAGTTTAGTGTTGCGTACAGCATCACCGACAATTTTACCAAAATCGCTGGAAATAGAATCACGGAGACGCTTCACACAAAACGCGTATGCAGCTTCTAAAATTTATCGAATAAAAGTGGATGTTTAAAAGAATTTTGGTGAAATTGCCGTTAAGCTACGATAAAAGTGATATATAACTCTGGAGTTGTAATTAGTTCATTTTGCTTCGCAATATTCGTTACTGAAGTTTTAACGTAGATTCCAAGTCCAATAAGAGTTAAGAACAATACCCATCAATTCGGCATGCCACTGGAAATGCAACACTATGTTTCTCCCTCTCGTTTTACCTCTATAAATAAAAAAAAAAGGAAAAAAGAATCTAGCCATTAGCGTTCGTTTCTTTAAATTATCGAGTATACCTTTACGAAATTTTTCTTTATTTTATATTCAATTTTTATACAAATTTCACGCTTTTCGTTTTACAATTGTGATAAGTGTCTCAAAATATATGCTGCACTTCAATACTAGTCGCTCATGCATCATATTCAGGTTAAACACCAATTTTATATTACCCGTCAAAAACAAAGAACAATGTCCACAGAATATTTGCATTATCGTGTGCACACCAGTTAATCAATCGGATCGAATACAATTACAAATTAAAGTGAATAGATTGCTCTATCAATCACATTCCCTCGAATAAAAATAATATATCACTATTGTACAAACCACACTTTTTTTCGCATGGATTTGAATGTGCGAAACACATGATTTAGCTCCAAATTCGTGTGAAACACATAGTTTAACTTCAAATTTATGCGAAGCTCGTGATTTAGCTTCAAATGCATGCGAAACAAACGAGTTAGCTTCAAATCAATGCGGAATAAGTGATTTAGCTTCAAATCAATGCGAAGTAGAAGGCTTAGCTTCAAATCCATGCGAATCAAATGATTTAGCTTCAAATACTTGCGATATAAGTGATATAGCTTCAAATGCAGGCGAAACAAACGAGTTAGCATCAAATCGAAGCAAAACACATGATTTAGCTTCAGGCTCATGCGAAAAACGAGTTTTAGCTTCAGATTCATGCGAAACAAATGGTTGAGCTTCTAATCAATGCGATGTAGAAGGCTTAGCTGCAAATCCATGCGAAACAAATGATTTAGCTTCAAATACTTATGATATACATGATTTATCTTTGAGGGGGTTGTGTATTCGAAATGTTCCGTACCCTCAATTATNGCTTCGCAATATTCGTTACTGAAGTTTTAACGTAGATTCCAAGTCCAATAAGAGTTAAGAACAATACCCATCAATTCGGCATGCCACTGGAAATGCAACACTATGTTTCTCCCTCTCGTTTTACCTCTATAAATAAAAAAAAAAGGAAAAAAGAATCTAGCCATTAGCGTTCGTTTCTTTAAATTATCGAGTATACCTTTACGAAATTTTTCTTTATTTTATATTCAATTTTTATACAAATTTCACGCTTTTCGTTTTACAATTGTGATAAGTGTCTCAAAATATATGCTGCACTTCAATACTAGTCGCTCATGCATCATATTCAGGTTAAACACCAATTTTATATTACCCGTCAAAAACAAAGAACAATGTCCACAGAATATTTGCATTATCGTGTGCACACCAGTTAATCAATCGGATCGAATACAATTACAAATTAAAGTGAATAGATTGCTCTATCAATCACATTCCCTCGAATAAAAATAATATATCACTATTGTACAAACCACACTTTTTTTCGCATGGATTTGAATGTGCGAAACACATGATTTAGCTCCAAATTCGTGTGAAACACATAGTTTAACTTCAAATTTATGCGAAGCTCGTGATTTAGCTTCAAATGCATGCGAAACAAACGAGTTAGCTTCAAATCAATGCGGAATAAGTGATTTAGCTTCAAATCAATGCGAAGTAGAAGGCTTAGCTTCAAATCCATGCGAATCAAATGATTTAGCTTCAAATACTTGCGATATAAGTGATATAGCTTCAAATGCAGGCGAAACAAACGAGTTAGCATCAAATCGAAGCAAAACACATGATTTAGCTTCAGGCTCATGCGAAAAACGAGTTTTAGCTTCAGATTCATGCGAAACAAATGGTTGAGCTTCTAATCAATGCGATGTAGAAGGCTTAGCTGCAAATCCATGCGAAACAAATGATTTAGCTTCAAATACTTATGATATACATGATTTATCTTTGAGGGGGTTGTGTATTCGAAATGTTCCGTACCCTCAATTATAACAATATGGACTTATATACGAACTTATATTTCAACCGATACTCGACGTAACCGTGCTGTCCTGACCGAACTGTCCTAACCGAACTGCTCGAACTAGCCCGCGGCAGCCGACTTTTGCCGCTTATATTCGTCCGGCGGAACATCGTCTTCCTTTGTCCAAGGTGACGGTTACTCCTGAGGGTTTTCCCGGGCCGCGCTAAACGTGCGGCCTGGTAGCCCTGTAGCGGTAGGCGGCCAGGTAGCCCCTTAGCGGTAGGCGGCTGGTAATTATTTTTCAGCAACATTTGCTGTACACGTGGGGTTGTCAAGAAAGTCACTACAATCATTTTCGACTTGCAACGGCCAGGGAAAGTTTATTTCTTCGACCGTGGCCTCTGCAAGCGAATCCTCTAACTGTTATTACCGTCGCCGGTCGTGTACCGCTATAAGATTGAAAGTTTCTCTAGGCGGGCGCGTAGTTGCAGCACAATGGCTGCTACATCACCCCCCCCCCCCCCCCGCCAGTGATTGACAGATCACGAACTATTTCATGCACACACACCCATACACAATGGTAACGCGCACTCTCTTACCTACGTCGGGTATACGTCCCTTGCGGGCACCCTAGCTATATTAATACCTTAAGAATAGTGCTCTACTTAAAAATATCTTACTTGCGCAATTTGAAATCGGTCGGAGAATCTCACGCGTCTTCCCGAGCGTGTAACTCGACCGTTTTCTTGCGCTAATGGGGTCAGCGTCGGCGTCTGAGCCTCTTGCTGTGGTTGGGCTGATGCCCCTTCGACAACATCAGAGACAATGTACGCCGGTTTTAATCTATCTAAGGTAACAACTACCGGCTTGCCCTTAATGTCTAACGTGAAAGTCCTCGGCCCTCGGTTTAATACTCTGTATGATCCGTCGTATGGCGGCTGCAACGAGCTCCGCACGGTGTCGTTTCTAACGAATACCTCATTCGTGTTCGCCAGATCTTTAAACACGAATGTTCGTTTCGTTCCGTGCTGACTACCCGGAGCTGGTGTGACCTGACGGAAATGACGGCGTAGTTCCTTGACGAAATCGGCTGCGTCGTAGTCCGCTAGGGCTGGCTGCGGCGATAGAAATTCGCCCGGTAGGCGCAACGTCTCGCCGTATACCAGTTCTGCAGCTGTCGCCTTGACGTCTTCCTTCCAGGCTGCGCGTATGCCCAGCAAAATGGTCGGAAGGACTTTGGTCCACTGCGTGTTGTTGTGACACCGGATAGTGGCCTTTAATTGG